GGCCAACAGGCATATGAAAAAATGTTCAACATCACTTGTAATCAGGGAAATGCAAATCTAAACTACAATGAGAGACCATCTCACACCAGTGAGAATGGCACATATTAAAAAAACTAGCAACAAGAAATGTTGGCGAGGATGTGGAGAAAAAGGAACTCTCCTGCACTGCTGTTGGGAGTGCAAACTGGTCCAATCACTATGGAGAGCTGTGTGGAGATTCCTCAGTCTTCTGTTTGTTTTGCTTCCAAATAAAATCTCTTTGTAGCATTTAAAAAATAATTTAGTCATAACTAAATTAAGCCATAAAGCTCAAAAGACAAAAAAAAAAATGCAATGCCCCATATGTTGTGTTTTCCAATGCCCATGGTATAAATACCCCCACCATGGCTAATATCAAGATATCAATGTGATATCACTGAATGCAGCTAGTAACAGATGTACAGTTGCACATATAACACAGTAGTTTCATCATTAGATAACTACAGATATAAATAATTTCAAGAACACAGAATGTAGTAACATAATTAGGAATTTAGGAATTTTAAGTATATGTTACCTATGTTTTATTTTTATTTATTTATTTATTTATTTATTTATTTATTTATTTAATTTTCTAGAGGCATGTCTTATTTATTTATTTATTTATTATTTGTTTGTTTGTTTGGTTTATACATGCACTGGGTACAGTCAGAAGCGCGGGAGGGCGAGAGAATTCACCAGAGCCAGAGCAGGGAGCAGAGCAGGCAGAAGGACCGAAGTACACTGCTGAGGGGAGCAGCGGGCGGCAGGAGAGGTCTGCGCGCCATGTGGGACCCTCCTCCGGTGGCCGGGGAGCAGCCAGGGATCGAACCAGCGCCGCAGAGGCCGCGGGCAGCTTCGCAACCCAGCGCTCAACCGCTGCGCCACCAGGGAGGCCCATACCTATGTTTTAAATGATTTATTTAAATAGGTTTTTATAATTTAGATTTAGGGCCTCCCCGGTGGCGCAGCGATTGAGCACTGGGTTGCGAAGGGGCCCGCAGCCTCTGCAGTGCCGGTTCGATCCCCGGCTGCTCCCCAGCCACCGGAGGAGGGTCCCATATGGTTCGCAGACCTCTCCTGCCGCCCGCTGCTCCCCTCAGCAGTGTACTTCGGTCCTTCTGCCTGCTCTGCTCCCCACTCTGGCTCTGGTGAATTCTCTCGCCCTCCCGCGCTTCTGACTGTACCCAGTGCATGTATAAACAAAACAAACACACAAACAAATAAATAAATAAATAAAACATGCCTCTATTAAAAAAAAAAGAATTAAAAAAAAAGAATTATTATAATTTAGATTTAATAATGGATGTGTCTAAAAACTGTGTTACAAAATTCCCAAAGATTTAACAATCAGTCCTCATGAGCTAGTGAAAGCAGGTCCAGCATCGTATTGGATAAGTATAAAATCCAAAATAGTTACTTCTGAGTAAAAATTGTATTAAGAATCCCTGAAAAGCTTCTCCTCTACAAAATCAATGAGAACATAGGCAAAAATCAACTTTTTAATATACTCTGGAAATTAGGTTTCCCACAATTCAGGGTGGTGTTCAATAAAGAAAAATGGCTGACTTTGTGAACACAGAAGGAACTGGAGGGGATTATGCTAAATGAACTAAATCAAAAGGAGAAAGACAAATACTGGATGATTTCACACATATGTAGAATATAAAGAAGCAAAACAAAGGGATGGTTGAAACTAAACCAAAACAAATCCTAGAAATCAGACTGCAGAATTGAGGCTACCAGAGGGGAGGTTTAGGGAATGAGGGGAAAGGAGGGAGGGAGCCCAGTGGGCTGTGGCAGAGGATTAGGAGTGCTTTGGTAATGGGCATGGTGTGATGATCTACATCCGAAGAGGTATGAGCCTATACCCCTAAATCATATGCAGTGTTTAAACCAATGTTACCTCGATACAAAATGAAAGTTAAAAAAATTAAAAATAAAGTTAAAAAAAAAGGCTGAAAATTGAGCATCATGCAGTTATAACTTGTCCCATTCCAGTAGACTCCACTACCAGGTCTACAGTAGCCTTAAAAAGCAACAACTTGAAATCATAGTGGAAACTATCAGCCTGGCAGTCAAGCAAGATAGACTAATGGATGAAAGCTCCTTCAAATCTCCCCCAGAGAACTGTCATTATTTGACCTATCTGATAATTCCACTCATCGGTATCTTTATTTGATCTGACTTGGAGCTTGCTAATGCAAATCACCTTTCTTTCCCAAAGAAGTTTTTCAGAAACAGTCAGAAATCATTGTTTACTGCCCAAAGCAGTAGCTAACAGGGTAAACAAGAGGTTAACCAAATACTCAAAAGGAAAAACTTGGAAATGAGATGTCCATAGGGGGCTTTGAAAAGCTCTGCTATGAACCTTGGTGTTGAAAAGGCCATACACATGGCCAGTGTTGTGTACATGCTTAGGAATGACATGACCCTAAGGTCACAACAATGGGTAACCTGACATTCTGCACAAGCAAGAAGCTGACAGAATTTTCAACTACCTGGCTGAGTAGTGCTGACTGCACCAAATTGGATACAGAGTCCCTCAGCAAACACAAATACTTTTGGGTTCCAGGCATTGTTTCAGAAAACTATATCTAAGGAAACAAGTGAAAGCATACGAGAGTTTCTCAAATAGAGAATATCGACAGAAAAAACAATTATTTTTTTAAAGGACCAAGTAGAAATCTGGGGGTGAAAAGTATAATGACTGAAATGAAAATTTCACTAAAGGAACTCAACAGCAGGTTGAAGTCAGCAAAACTGAAAAAAATAGGTCTGTTGAGATTATCCACCATGAGAAAATAGGAAGAAAAAAAAGGATGACGACAATAAACAGACTTATGGGACACTGTGAAACATACCTGTCTAGTAATAACAGGAGTCAGAGGATAGGTGAGTTAGAAGGAGCAGAAAGAATTTGTAAATAATCAATGGCTAAAATTTTCCCAAATTTTATGAAAAATGACAACTTATACATCCATGAAGCTCAATATATTCTCAGCAGAATAAATTCAAAGACATCCACAAGTAAACCTATCATAGTTAAGCTGTCAAAAAGCTAAAGAGAAAGAGAATGTTGAAAGCAGCAAAAGAGAAGTGAGTTAATTCCAAGCAACCTTTAGTAAGAATAACAGTTGGTTTCTCACTAGTAAACAACAAGGCACACACACAAAAAATGTGGAATGACATCTAAGTGCTGAATGAGTAGATTGTCAATGAACAATTCTATATCTATCAAAACTATCCTTTAAGACTGAAGGTTCACCTTCCATCATTACCTAAATTTCATTAAGGGAAAAATTTTAAAAGAAACAACAAAGAAAATCAACCTCTTCCCTAAGAAAGAAAAAAAGTGAAAAAAAAAAAATCGAAGTCTTTAGAAATGGTCCTAAGAACAAACAGAAAATGAAGAAATACCTATTCAAGAACATATATAAATACCTGTTAGGTAAGATGAGAATCTATGGTATTCAAGGAAAGAAGACTCTCTGTCTCCCACCTCCCAGCTCTGTGAAGTGGACACTGCTCTAGCCAAGTACTATTTCTCAGGACTATTTCTCTTCTCAGCTCCCAAGAGGACAGGCAGGAGTAGGACTTCAATGTTTTTTATCTTGCTTCATCTCACTGTTGCTGAAATTAAGTTCCATATGGGTGTGTTGATGGTTCGAGACTCCCTTCTTTCACTGGTCCTCCACTAATGAGCAGAGATACTACCTTGGTATGGCACACTAAGAAGGATGGAAGAAATGCAATACAGGGAAATGCAAATTCAGACTACCATAAGAGAATATTTCATACCTTCGGGGATGGTATAATAAAAACAAAGTGAAACAACAATAGTGTTGGTGAGGAGTGATTTAGAAAAGTTGGATGGGCCATACAGTCCTAAAATCTAAAATGCAAAATGGTACAGTTGCTTTGGGATGTAGTCTAATAGTTCCTCAAATGGTTAAATATTGAGTTACCATATAACCCAACATTTCCAGGGCCTCCCTGGTGGCGCTGGCGGTTGAGCGCCAAACTGTGAAGCTGTCCACAGCCTCTGCAGCATGGGTTCAATCCCTGCCGACCCGCGAGAATCCCACATGGCGCGGCAGACCTCTCCTGTCTGGCCCGCTGCTCCCCTCAGCAGTGTATTTCGTCAGTCTGTCTGTTCTATTCCCCGCTCTGTCTCTGGTGGATCCTCTCACCCTCCCGCGCATCTGGCCTGTACCCTGGTTTGTGTATAAATAAATAAATCTTGAAAAAAAAATAACCCAACATTTCCAATACTAGCTAGGTACATACCTAAGAGGATTAAGTGATTCTATGCTAATGAAATGTCTACAGTAGGCACATCTACAGCAACAAAACGATTACTAGTTGCCAGGAGTTTGTGGGATGGAAGAATAGACAGTGCCTGCTAATGTCCTGGGGTTTCTTTTTGGGATGACAATATTTTAGAAACCAGAGTGGTAATTACTGCACAAGTTTATAAAACTAAAACATCCAATGAAATGGTGTACTTTAATGGTATGTTCATTATAACTCAAAAGAGACAGGGTAAAAGAAATAGTTCCTTTTTGCTTGGTCATTATGGCTTTGGAGGTTGGAAATCATTTGACACATGGAGTGTCAGTAAAACACTAATAGCTTGGGGGCCTCCCTGGTGGTGCAGGGGTTAAAGACTCAGGTGTTAAAGCACTATCAAGCTATTGCCAACCACTGTGGCCTGAGTTGAATCCCTGGCCAGGGAGCTGACAACATGTCTGAGTTCCATTCCCTGCCAGGGAGCTGACCCATGTGGTGCGACAGACCTCTCCTGTCTCACCAGCTGCTCCCCTCAGCAGTGTATTTCAGTAGATCCACCTGCTTTGCTCCCCACTCTGTCTCTGGTGAATCCTCTCACTCCCTGCACTTCTGGCCTATACCCCGGTTCTTGTATGCATAAATAAATAAAAATAAATCTTTAAAAAATAAATAAAACACTAACAGCTTACCTCAGTTCCTGTCTCTCTCCAATCCCAAGCCCGACTGCCTCCTGGCCACACTTTGCAGTCCTTATAGGTTTTAGAAGAGCCTTGTACTTTCATTTGCCCCCATGAAAGGGAAGAAATTTCAGGCGAAGTCATAAGGAACTTAACTGAAATACAAAATTAAAAGAAAAACATGCAGTTATAAAGTGAGGTTGAGAGTTCCAAAATACAAGAGGTACTCTATATACCACATACACTATGTACACTATATACAAAATGTATTTAAATATATGTAAATTGTAAGACCCTGTACTCTACGAGTTAAGAAGCATCTTCTTCACTTTTGTGGTTATACTTTCTTCTCTAGAAGTCTAAAAAATAAAGTGTTATTTTTGGTATTCAAAATCATCAAATCATGGAAACGAGATACTATAATTTCTTCTCAGACTCTGGAGGGAATCCTTAGGGCATTTTTTTGAGGATTAAATTAAAATGTGGAGAGCTTTGTTCAGTATGATAGAATAAGGAGGTTGACAGAAACTTTCCCCAAAATGTGGCTATAAAGCTGGACAAAATTGTCAAAATAACCACTTGGCATTCTAGAAATAATATTAAAGATATACTATAAACTGAGAAGAGCTTATTCATGAAAACCACTGACTTTCACATATAAATAGTAAAATGTTTTGTTGTTTTTGTCTGGGACTTCCCATCCCCAATATCACTTCTGTTGGCACAGTTCACCTGGGTTTGGGTAAAGCATGGACACTAGCAGTCTTGCTGCTATGGCCAAAGGAGGAGTACTTGATCTGGAGCACTTTCAATTAAACTGGTGACTGTAGTGCAAAGCAAATATGGATGGTAGGTGCTTCCCTGATATTGTGGACCTGACAGGGGCAAACAGTGGATTGGCAGAGTAGATTGGGATTTAACAGGAATTTCCCAGAGTTGCCACAGCCAGAGTAGGGCTTGATAAGCATTCCATATATCCCATGAGGACTTAAGGTGATGAACATATGCATCAAAGACTGAAATAGGCCGAAGTCACAGAAATATTCTGGACCAATGGAGTCAATAGCACACCGGCAACGTGAAGTGAGAAGGCTCCAGAGGACTCAGAAGAATGTAAAGAAAGACATGAAAACAGCCTGAACATTGAATGTACTCCCTAGTGCACACATTGATCCATCAGTAGAAAGTGAAAGTCTTACTGGCTTGAGGTCTTTGAACATAATCTTTCATTAAGCTTTGGCTGAACACTAAGCTATAAAGATATAGAGGAGACCCCTAGAAAATCAAGCCTAAAAATAAAAACAGGAAAAAAAATTGAATATAGTTTCCAGTAGCCATAGGTTTATGTGAATCAGAATTCAGAGTTTTAATCTAGGTAGGCAAGTGACTAAACGCAACAAAGAACAAAATTCAGGAGGAAAATCCAAATTTCCTTCAATATATTATCTAAAACATTCACTATTCAAACAAAAAATTACATGACATGCAATGAAACAAGAGCTATGACACACTCATCCAACTAAAACTGTATCTAAGTGTTCCCATGTTTGATTTAGCAAAGACTTCAAAGAAACTATTATAAATAGATTCAAAGTACTAAAGAAAACCAGTATAAAGAATTACAGAAAGGGCCTCTCTGGTGGTGCAGGGGTTAAAGCCTCAGCACTATCAAGCTATCACCAGCCACTGCAGCATGAGTTGGATCCCTGGCCAGGGAGCTACCCACATGGGGCAGCAGACCTCTCCTGTCTCATCCACTGCTCCCCTCAACAGTGTATCTCAGTAGATTCGCCAGTACTGCTCCCCACTCTGTCTCTGGTGAATCCGCTCACCCCTCACACCTCTGGCCCACACCCCCGTTCTTGTATGCATAAATAAATACAAATAAATCTTTAAAAAAATTGCAAAAAAGTATAATGACAATGACTCAATGAACACAGAATCTCAATAAAGAGACATTTTAAAAAAGAATCAAAGGGAAACTCCGGCAACGATAAGTACAATAATGAAAAAGTGCTTGTATTTTTCAGGATTCTTCAGAGAAATAGGATCAGTAGATTACGCATAATAAGATTTATTTCAAGGAAGTGGCTTATGCAACTCTGGGAGTTTCAAGTCCAAAATGTGTAAGGCAGGCTGGCGAGCTGCTAACTCTAGGGCACAAAATTGTCATTAGATTATTGATGTTTTATTATTTCTTCCTCAATGAAACCTCAGTTGTTTTTTTAAAGATTTATTTATTTATGCATACAAGAACTGGGGTGCAGGCCAGAGGTGCAGGGGGTGAGAGGGTTTGCCAGAGACAGAGTGGGGAGCAGAACAGGCAAATCTACTGAAATAAACTGCTGAGGGAAGTGGGCGAAATAGGAGAGGTCTGCTGTGCCATGTGGGTAGCTCCCTGGCTGGGGATCGAACTCATAATGCAGTGGCTGCTGATAGCTTCATAATGCAGAGACTCAACCCCTTGTGCCACCAGGGCGGGCCAACCTAGGTTTTGTTTTTAAGGCCATTTAACTGATTGGATGAAACCCAACAGAAGTACTAAGAGTAATTTTTTAAATTTAAAAGTCAACTGATTATAGATGTTAACTACATCCACAAAAGTACCTTCACAGCAACATCTAGATTAGTGTTTGACTGATAACGGGATATTACAGCTCAGTCAAGTTGAAATATAAAACTAACCATGCAATCAAACCTTTTCCAATATGGTATCTGTATACATTTCCTTAAACCAAATTTAATCTTCAAATAAAGACAGTAACAATGACACTTCTGCCAAACATTAATAATTACTAACCAATTTTTGAAGCTTTAACTTCTGAATATCCATTTTTATATCCCATATATATATATATTATATCCAGTGCATTATATACAGGTATATAATTGTTACAAATAGTTATATACGATATGTATGTAATACATTATATACAACAACACACTACATAACATACTATTTTAGGTGGTAGGGTAGGAAGATACTAGTTTATGAAATAGGATTCCTGTTCTTGAGGAGCTAATATTAGAAGAGAGAAGAGATACAAATATCAATAATTATAATTCAAAAGGATAACTTTAAAAATGCAAGGCAACTTTTGAAAAGCAGTAAAAGGGAAATAGGGTTGTTGAAAGACTTGTGTATTAGTTACAACTTCCAGAACAAAATATCACAGACTGGGTGGTTTAACCAACAGAAATTTAATTTGTTAGACTGCGATAGGATGTGCAAGATCAAAGTGTCAGCAGGGTTGGTTCCTGGTGAGCGCTCTCTTTCTGGCTTGCTGATAGATGCTTTCTTGGTTGTCCTCACATCACCTTTTCTCTGTGCAGGAGGCACTCACAGCACCTTTTCCTTTACCTTTTTTTTAATTTTAGTAACTGCATTGTAGAAGTGTGTGAAATTAAGGTGTTCATCCCCAAGAATCAACACATATATATTTAAATTCACTGCTAAAAATTCAAAGCTATTCTTCACTATACCATTGTCTCTCTTTTCCTGATTTAGCCACCTCTCTCTCCCCAGCCCTTCTGCTAACCACTAGTTGATTTTAGTTTACTTTTTGTTTTATTTAGTTCATTCTTTTTTAATCTAAGTGCCCTCTATGAGTGAAATCATATGGTGTTTATCTTTTCCTGTCTGGTTTATTTAACCAAGCATAAATTCCCTCTCTCTGTCCATCCATAATCCTGCAAATGGCAGGATTTCATTTTTTTCTTTAATGATAGCTGAGTAGTAAGCCACTTCTTGTTTGTCCACTTGCAAGTTGATGGATACTTCAGTTCTTTTTTTTTAACGTCAAAAAACTGGGGTACAGGCCAGAAGTGCGGGGGTGCTTGGTAGTGCAGAGTGGGGAGCAGAACAGGTGAATGGGGGATTTTGTGAAATGATTTTGTGCATCCATTAAGGTGATTGTGTTATGTTCTTTATTATTAAGATGGTATGTTAAGCCAACCTTGCATACCTACAATGAATTCTATTAGGTCATGGTATATAGTCATTTTTATCTGTAATTGGTTTTGTTTTTTTTTTTTTTAAAAATAGAGGCATGTTTTATTTATTTATTTATTTGTTTGTTTGTTTGTTTGTTTATACATGCACTGGGTACAGTCAGAAGCGCGGGAGAGTGAGAGAATTCACCAGAGCCAGAGCAGGGAGCAGAGCAGGCAGAAGGACCGAAGTACACTGCTGAGGGGAGCAGCGGGCGGCAGGAGAGGTCTGCGCGCCATGTAGGACCCTCCTCCGGTGGCCGGGGAGCAGCCGAGGATCGAACCGGTGCGGCAGAGGCCGCGCGCAGCTTCGCAACCCAGCGCTCAACCGCTGCGCCACCGGGGAAGCCCTGTAATTGGTTTTGGTTTGCTGGAATTTCACTGAGATTGTTGCATCTAGATTCATAAAGAGTAAGTTTTGTTTTTTTCTTTCCTTGTGATGTCTTTGTTTTTGCCATCAGGTTTAAACCTGTCCTCACAGGATCATTGGGATGTCTTTAATTTTTGGTTAAGCTTTTGTGATACATTGGTGTTAATTCTTTAAAATTTTGAAGTTCATGTTAGTAAATATCAGAATTTGCCATGAATACATTTGAGGCTGGGTTTTTATGGAGGGGGAATTGAGATTAAAATTCTTTATTTTTTTAAGATTTTATTTATTTATGCATACAAGAATTGCAGTGTAAGCCAGAGGTGTGGAGGGTAAGAGGATTCACCAGAGAGAGGTGGGAACAGAACAGGCGGATCTACTGAAATACACTGCTGAGAGGAGCAGCGGGCAAGGCAAGAGAGGAGGAGCAGTGGGCAAGGCAAGAGAGGTCTGCTAAGCCATGTGGGCTCCTCCCTGGCAGGCTGGGGATCGAACTCATGCTGTGGTAGCTGGGGATAGCTTAATTAAACTCTGTGCCACCAGGGAGGCCCTGAGATTAAAATTCTTAATTCAATCTTTGTACTTGTCATAATTACATTCAGATTTTCTATTGTTTCTTTAGTGAGTTTCAATAGTTTGTGGTGTTCTAGCAATTTGTTCATTTAGATTAGCTAATTTGTAGGTATATTCATACTGTTTCCTTTTAATACATTAAAATTACCGTAATAGTGATGTCCCCCATTCATTTTTGAATTTAGTAATTTATTTGGGTCTTCTCTTTTTGTCTTGGTCAATGTAGCTACAGATTTGACACTTTTATTTTAAAGAATCACTTTTCATTTCATTTCTTTTCAGTATTTTTCTATTCTCTATTTCCATTAATATATGTTTATCTTTATTATTATTTCCTTGCTTAGATTTGTTTTGTGTTTAGTCTGCTTCTAGTTTTCCCCCCCAATGTTCAGTTTTCTATAATGACCTCTATCTCACAGAAGGGCAGGGCAAGTATTGTAGTTTCCAATTTTTTAATGTGTATGTAAAGCTATAAATTACAACTATGTTTTTTCTTAAGCAGTGTTTTGGTTGTATTAAACAAGTTTTAATATTTTGTTTTTGTTTTGACTCATCTCAAAGTATTTTGTAATTTATCCTGTGATTTCTCATCTTAACCACTGGTAATTTAGATGTCATTTAATATCTATCTAGATAAGATAACTTACCAATATCCCATCTGTTTTTGATCCCAATCTAATTCCACTGTTTGAAAAATGTATTTGGTATAATTCCAATACCTTTGAATGTATTTAAACTTTTTAAAATGCCCTAGCATAGTTTATCTTGGAGAATTTTCCATGTGTACTTGAGAATTCTGTATTCTGTTGTACTGGTGATGTTCCACAGAGATCTACTAGGTGATGTTATTTTGTAATATTGGTCAAGTCTATTAACTTGTTGATCTTCTGCTACTCCTAGTTGACCATTATTGAAAGTGGGGTATTGAATTTTCCCAAGTATGATCCTTGAATTCTCTATTCTTTCAATTCTGTCACTTTTTTTACTCAGGGAAGATGCTCTTCTGCAAATAGCGTATGAGTATGGCATCTTAGTATTTTAAAAATCAATATAGCCTTTCTAGTTCATGTTAGTAAATATCAGTCTTTGCTATACAAGATACCAAACTGCATAATTTGATGCCTGCTCTCAATTATCTAACAGTAAAGGTAAAACATGGAGACACAAAGCAAGGAAAGTCCATCACAATAGGTAGTTTTCCAATATAATTTTTCTTTCAGTAAAAATCTTTATTCCATCAAATTGTTCTCAATCATTTTTTAAAAAGATTATTTTTTTATACAAGTATGGGGGTACAGGCCAGAGGCGTGGGAGGGTAAGAGAATTCACCAGAGACAGAGTGGGGAGCAGAACAGGCAGACAGACCGCAGACACAAAACAGGCGCCGACACTGCTGAGGGGAGCAGCGGGTGAGACAGGAGAGGTTTGCCGTGCCATGTGGGGATCTGCCTGGCCGGCTGGGAATCGAACCCGCGCTGCAGAGGCTGTGGACAGCTTCACAGCGCAGCACTCAACCGCTCAAGCGGCTGAGCCACCGGGGAGGCCCTGTTCTCAATCATTTTTAAAAAAGATTTATTTATTTATCTATTTATTTATTTGCATACAAGAGCTGGGGTGTGGGACAGAGGTGTGCGGGGTGGTGAGAAGATTCACCAGAGACAGAGTGGGGAACATAACAGGCAGACTGACTGAAATACACTGCTGAGGGGAACAGTGGGTAAGTCAGGAGAGGCCTGCTGCATCATGTGGGTAGCTCCCGGGCCTGGGATCTAACAGACAGCTTCATAGTGCTGAGACTTAATCCCTTGAGCCACCAGGGAGGCCCTCAATCATATTCTTTTTTTTTTTTATAGAGGCATGTTTTATTTATTTATTTGTTTGTTTGTTTTGTTTATACATGCACTGGGTACAGTCAGAAGTGCGGGAGGGTGAGAGAATTCACCAGAGCCAGAGCGGGGAGCAGAGCACCTCAATCATATTCTTAAGAAAAAAAGAATTGATTATCTTCAGCAGTAAAAAGATGGTCAGTAATACACTTCTAAAAGCAGTGTCTGCAATGAATGCAATTCTATTACAACACAGAATTCATGAAGAGAACGAATCAGAAAATTGCTGGTTTAATCTTACTTACATTAGGACTTCTTTTTATTTTAATATTTTTTTATTAAACTATTTTGACTAGCATAGATTCCTACTTCTGTTGACACAACCGTTTTTCTTTACTTAGATGTACTAACTCTTTTAAAAGTGAGTTTTAAATGAACCTAAGTAAATTTGTTCATTACAGATCAGGAATTCCCCAAGCTTGTTTCACAAATGAACTCCAATATAATATTCACTGAGCTTATAATATTTTAAAAATATTGTGTAACAAATGCAAAGATAATATTTTGGGAAGAGAGAAATATGTATAAATTTTCTCAGGCAGACTTTCTAATGCAATTTGGAAAAATTGAGGGATAAGCCATTTCATTCTAAAATCAAAGCATAATTATATTCAGTTAAATGCACAGATACTGTTTGTAGTTTGACAAATGTATTATAAACTTGTCAATCAAGATACAGAAAGTATCTAGAGAGTAACCTTGTGTACCTTCTGGTCAACCCTCAACCAAGATCAAAAGAAACCACTATTTTGATTTCTATTCTTATGTCAGTCCTTCATATTGAATGGAATTTTACAGTACCTATTCTTTTGTGCCTGTCTTCTTTCATCAAGTAGCTTTTGAGGGTCACCCACGTTCTAGTGTGTATTGAGTGTGTTCTCAATGACAGTAGCTTGTTGCTGAAGTATATTACTGTTTATTAAGTCTATTCTTCTGTTAATGAATATTTGGCTTTTTGAATAAACTACCATTAATTTTGAATGAACAAGATTTTTTTCCCTAAGAGAACGTGAAATTTGAACTCTTAAAAATTTCCCACTCATACAGTTAAACCGAGTGTAGGTATACTAATGCTTACTTAAAGGTTTCTTCATAGATAGCAATAAATCAGTAACAGGTTAAAAAAATACTGTTTTTCTATCTTTACATTCTTGTCTGCTATAGATAACACAATTACTTAAGCATGTAAAATGGGATTAGAGTTCTGTAACCCACAATTTCTGTAAACCCAGAAAGGCAAGAAGACATGGTGGTCTTAAGGGAGTGTATAGTTACTTTCTTTTCAAGAACAGACATAGTGAAGGGATAGATAACCTTAACCTGGCTTTGTAGTAACACCTCTTGGGTGGGTTTAACTTTCTGATGCCCAAGGACTTTGTTCTCATGCCAATCTGAATTAGAAAAGGGAGAAACTGTAACAATATTATCAGTCCCCTTTGAATAATAGTGTGAGCATTGAGACAGCAGAACTATAGTATAAAGCTCCATTTAAAAAAAAAAAAAAAGAATGTTACTTTATAACCACATGGGAGAACAAGCCTGTTGAGAGCTAGAAAAACAAAGCAAAGAGAAAGGCATGAGGGGAGTAGGGTGTAAAGTTCACATAATAAGTAAATCTCTTTTGGTTTGAAGGTTTTCCTTGGAAACTACTTCACAAAGATATTATTTTATTTAATACTATATACCTGCCTTATATTTAATGTTAATTAATGATGGTAAGAAGGTTATTGTATCTTTGTACAGTCATTTGAGATGTTCTGGGTCAGATTTCTCTGTGTAGAGATTCCTCAATCTGCTAAAGATGGAGCTTGCATATGATCCAGCAATTCCACTCCTAGGTATTTGCCCAGAGGACACAGAAATGTTAATTCCAAAGGGCACCTGCACCCCTATGTTTATAGCAGCACTGTTTACAATAGCTAAGCTATGGAAACAACCCGAATGCCCAAAAATAGATGACTGGATCAAGAAGATGTGGTACATATACACCATGGAATATTACTCAGCATTCAAAAAAGATAAACACATGTAATTTGCAGCAACATGGATGGAGCTGGACGGGATCATGCTCAGCGAAATAAGCCAGAAAGAAAAAGAAAAATACCGGATGGTCTCACTCCTAGCAGGAATCTAGAAAACTTAAATAAGGGACCAGGACAAAGACTAATTATAATAAAGTAAAAATCAAAATCAACAAGCAACTATAAACCAGAGGGGGAGGGGTGGTATTGGGGAGGTGGGGAGGAGGGATTAGAGCCAAAATAGGGGAGTGGGAATTGTATGGGGACTATAACCAAGATGAAAATGCATACACTGAGCAAAAATGAAAAATGATGTAAAAATATGTAAAATAAAATAAAATATTAAAAAAAGAAATACAAAAAAAAGTGTGCCCTTTTAATGGAGTCCTATACCACTCTTTGATCCAGGTCCCTTACAGAGCCTCAGTCCCCTGAGACCCTGCCCTCACCCTCATCGGAGCCCCTTACCTTCAAGCCCTGACCACTAAGGCAGGACCCTGGCTGTCCCTTCACACCTTCGCCCTCCTGCAGAGCCTGGCACCCTCTGACTGGTCTCCTAGCAGGGGTCCAACCTCTCAGGCTCTCGGGCCTCCGTCCTCCAGGAGCCACGGGTCTGGCCTGCCCCGCAGAGCTGTCACCTGCACACAGCGGACACGGCCGAGGTGCGGCCCCGCTCCCACCTGAGGGCACGTCTCCACCTTCCCTTCCCCACTCTCCCCGCATCGTGCCCTTAAAACTGCTTCTGCTTCTCATTCACCGTCCTCGACCTCCTCCACCATCTCGCGGCCTACTTTCAGTTCTTGGAGTCCCCCCCAAACTCACCCAGTTTTTCTCCGCGTCGCCGCGGTCACCTCAGCACCTTGAGGCCCTCCCGGCCGGCGCCGCCCCGGCCCCGCCCCGAGGAAGCCGGCCGGCCAGTCGCCGCGCACGGCCCCGCCCCCCGCCGCCTATTGGCCACCGACACGCAAAGTCCCGCCTCCCCGGCCTCCAGCCCGCCTCCCCGCTCCGCTTCCCTTGTTTTCATTCCCCCTGTCACACGAGGCCGGGGCGAGCCGAGGTGGGCGGGGCGAGGCCGGGAGGGCCGGGCCGGGCCGGCCGCGGAGAGAGGAAGGCCCAGGGCGCCGCTCTGGCCCGGGCCTGCTCCGCTCTCGACTGCTCCGGGCCGCCGCTGTATTGTGGGATCGCGGCGCCGCGCCTGAGCCGCTCGGCTCCGCAAGGGCGCCCATTCGCGAGCGCCTCCTGTCGTCGGCGAGGCGGCCCTGCCGCGCCTCGGCACCCCAACTTCCCCCACCCCCCCATCGCCGCCTCCTCCTCCATCCTCCAGTTCAAAATGGCGGCGGCGGCGGCGGCGGCGGCGGCGGCGATGGCTGCCCCGGGCTGCCCGGGCTCGTGCCCCAACTTCGCCGTGGTCTGCTCCTTCCTGGAGCGCTACGGGCCGCTGCTCGACCTGCCCGAGCTGCCGTTCCCCGAGCTGGAGCGGGTGCTGCAGGCGCCGCCGCCGGACGTCGGCGGCGGGGAAGGTAAGCGGGGCCCGGCGCCGGGGGAGCGGCCCTGGCGCGGCTGCTGCGCGCCCCCGCCCGCCCCGGCCTCCCGGCCCCCCGCCGCGGGCGCCCCCGGCCCCCCGCGCAGCCCCGGGCGCGGGCGTGGGGAGGCGGGGCGGGGGCCCGGGCGCGGGCCCGGCCGGCGGGAGTGGGGGCCGCGGGCGCGGCGGGAGCGGGGGGCCGCGGGCGGGGGGGGCATTGTGCGGGCCGCGGCTCCGGGGGTCCCCCGGGCGGGACCCGGCCCCCCGCGCCCGCTCCCCCTCGGCGGCGGGGTCGGGGCGCGCAGGTTCCGGCCGCCTTGCGCCTTCCCCGCCCTCCCCCCGCCGCCCGCCCGCTCGCTCGCTCGCTCGCTGCCCCCCGGGGGAGGCTGGGCTCGTCTCGGGGCGCCCCTTTCTCTCGCTCCGCCTGGGTGGGCGGGGGCCCGCGGACACCTCAGCGCCCCCTCCCTCCGCCGGGAACTCCCCCGGGAGCCGGCTCCGGGCGGCCTGTGCCACCCCTTGGAGGCCGGTTTAACCCCCAAACTCCTTCCTCGGAGTTGGGGATGCTCGCCCCTCCCCCGGGAGGGGTGTCTTCCTCCATCCTGGCTTTGGGGGGCGACGTCGGGGAAGCGCCGCTTCGGGGGCCAGAGGGTTAATGCCTCCTCCCCCATAGTTTCCTCCTCCTTTCCCACCTCCCCCCAAATAATCGAGAAGCATCTCCCCACTTTTTCCGTCCCTTCCCCCTTCCTCTCGGCGGCGGCGCTTCGGGGAAGGAGTCGCCCTGCTCCGCGGGCGGGCGGGGCGCGCGGGGGGCGGGGAGGAGGGGCGCGGGGGGCGCCGGGGAAGGTGCTTGTTGCTCGCGGCTCCCCGGGGCGGCCGCTCTATTATTGGTGCCCGGCGCGGGGCTCGGAGCACAGGCCGCGGCGCATGCTCCGCCCGCCCCAGTGAAACTTCCTGCCGCCGCCCCCGCCGGAGCATCCCCGCCCCGCCCGGCCCGGCCCGGCCCGGCCCGGCCCCTGCGCCCGCCCGCCCGCGGGTCCCGGTGCCTCCTCGCCGCCCCCGGCGCTCTTCACCCCCGGAGCATTTTTTTTCCTTGTTGTACTCTGAGCATTGCCCTGATGCTGGCAGCAGCCCTTGTCTGGGAAAGAAACGTTTTCCAAATAGGTCTTTTTCTCCCATTTTTTTTTTTTTCGTGTTAGGTGGCCAGAGTGGAGTGGGTATTGTACAAGGCAGAGAGCTGCTTCCTTTCCGAGAAAGCAGAGTCTCCCTTCTGTTCTCCGTGGAAGTGAAGACATTTATGTTCATGAATGTATTACATTATTTCTGGGAAGGGCCCAAGTTCTTGTAAATACTAGCTTTAGAGAAAATGGCATTAATGCAGGAGTGAAGATACAGACCTGCGCTACCCTTTCCTCTGTTCTTAGCCAACTCTGACGTAGAAAAGACGACTTTTTTTAAACCGTGTAAAACGGGAGGGTGATTGATTGCATTATATGACGACTTACTAATAATTTCCTTATCAAGATATATTTGCATTCAATTTTTAAGGAAATGATGATTGTGAAGTGGAATGTCTTAGTAAGTTGCTTCTAGGATGCTTTAGGAAATAATAATAATATATCTATCATAGAGAAATGTGGCAAATTGGGGAAAGGGATTGCTGGTAAATTGTCTTAGAGATTTACTGGGACCAGATTGAAAGGCAGGTGTAAGAATTCTGGGATGGCATTGTATTTTTGGTGGTATGCAAGATTGCTTGTCTCTCGATTGCTTTTAAGTATTTTGGCCCCTACATTTGCCTTGTATTTGGATCAGAAGAAAAAAATATCAGGGTCAGTTTAATACTTCATGTTACCATTCTATCTAGAATTGAATAATTGGGCCACCAGTTTAGTAAAAATATGGGACATAATGTGGGTTGAGGAAAATCATTTAAACTGCATTACCACTGATATAACTAAAGAATAGATCATATAGTGATCTAGGAATAATTAATGTTACACAGTTCAAGATACTGTTACTGTGCAGAGAAAAGGTTTTCAGGCCTTTGATGGTTAATCTCTACTTGTAATAATTGACAAAACTGTACTGGTCCAGCTAGCAATATTTTTTGGGAAGCAGGTCTAGAAAGAGTTAAAAGACAAAGACTTCAGTGTTGAACAGTGTAATGTGTATGTTGTAGGCCAAATTTATTTAATTTTTATGGTCCTCAGTTTCTTCAGGTAGTCTAGTATCCTAGGATCCAATGAAATGTTTCAAAAATCCTTAATATACAGTTTTTATTGAAGGTGTTTGTCAATAAGAAAATGCGTACATTTGGAATTAAAATGTTAAGTTTTTATTACCTATGAGAATAAGGGTTTGAATGAACACAGGTGTAAATAACATTGAGCTATTACATCTTGGGGTAATACTCTGTTACAATAAAATGAGTTTTTGTTCTTTGTAAGTTTAGGTATTTTAATAAGGCAATTCTAATTTATAAATTTTTCCTCCTAGTGTGATTATCTATTAGAAGATGCTTTTTAAGTATATTCTTCTGAGTTGTCAGTTTGTCGTGATAGGTATATCAACATTATGACATCCTTTGGAAGAAACTGTAGTTCTGTATTGTCATTGTTAAGCACTTTGTGATCTTTTAAAAATCTGTTTGTAAGTTTTAATATGACATTGTGACTTCAGCTTAGAGTGCTTCTCTCATCCCCCTCACCCTCCATCCCAGCCTGTTATAAAATTTGGTTTTATAAACTACTTGTTTAATTTTAATGATAAAATAATAGCTACCATTTATTGAGGACACACACACACACACACCCACACACACCCTCATTTTTCCTTATAACTACTCTCTGAGATTGGTACTATTATTTCTACTCGGCAGCCTTAATGGATATTAAGGTTCAAAAGGTAGATTCAACTGCCAGTGCCCAAGATGATATAGTTATTGGTAGAATCTGATTTCCAACCTAGATCTGAGTTCAGCATTGCAAAATTAAATACTGCCTTGCCATAGGACCATAGTTTGAAAATTGCACAAAGCACCCCAGGGTATTCCTATTGCTGCCAATTCCCAGAGGTTCTGTCTGATAGTTTACATTTTCAAGAGAGATACAGCTATACCTGACATCTTTTGGTGAACTACTACAATAACTTCACATAGCCCCTGATTTCAATATTAGATTGTGCTACATTCCATGTACAAATATGCTACATGACATATTTGTGAAGTTGGGTTTTGGGGGTTGCTGTGATAAAATGCAAATATTGAGTGAAAATCTGTGTGGAACAGGAAATAGGGATAGCAGTGTCCAATCTGATTCTGTGGTTTGAGAAGTTGTATAGTGCATTGTGGTAGTACACATTCTATAAATAATTGTGGTTATTTAAGAATGAAGTAAAAATATTTTTTTCCAATTGAAGTAGATTAGTTTTTCAAATGGCTCCTAACAATAAGTGAAACTTTTTGTTTCTTTGCTGTGAAAAAATTACTGAAATACTGAGGGTGCCACCAACCTAGAAAGCTTGGGAACCTGTGCTCTAGACACTTTCGTTGAGCTTTGGAATTAGAAAGGAAGGACTGTCCTGTTTGTCTTTTTTTTGGGGTGGGGGGCAGACAAGAAAATCAAGACCTTTATAAAGTTCACCTGTGTACTGAAATGATCAGCAAAAAATTTTAGTTTTAAAGTTCATTAGACTAGGAAAAGGGCATGCCAAATGAATGAATTTATTTTTATCTCCTGTGCCCCCGAACCTGTGGTCCCCCCCACCCCCAGCACTCAGTCTGCTGGTTTGGCTTGCAATTCAATTCTGTTACTTTTTTTTTTAATTTATGCATACAAGAACTGGGGTACAGGCCAGAGGTGCGGGGGGCAAAGGGGAGGGTTGTGTGTGTGAGAGGATTCACCAGAGACAGTGGGGAGCAGAACAGGAGGATCTACTGAAATACACTGCTGAGGGCAGCAGCAGGCGAGACAGGAGAGGTCTGCTGCACCATGGACCATGTGAGTCACCTCCCTGGCCAGGATAGAACTCCGTGCTGCTGTAGTTGTGGATAGCTTCATAGTGCTGCATCTTAACCCCTTGCGCTACCAGGGAGTCCCAATTCTGCGCTTCTTTATGAATTCCCAGCTTCCTCTTAGCTGGAGGTAGGCGGTCAGAAGGTACAGATACAAATAAAGGTGGATGTAAACTTTGTGGGGTTGTTAAACACCCAAGGCTCCCTAGCATCTTTACTCTGCTGCAAAGTACATACTTTTTCTTCGTTAAAAATACTCTGTATTTTGGGGTTTTTTGAAAAGTTACATGTATTTAATAACAGTTTATTAAAGTTTGTATAAATACCGTGTTATGATTCCCATAGTTTATACTGTGGTT